GAAATAACATAGGAAACCATGCAACTATTTTCTCTAAAAAGAAACCCTAAAAAAGTTCGTTCAATATTGAACTAGTTACTAAAAAAAGCATCCATCCCTCAGAGAGGGGAAAAACTGATAGGCAGCATGAGGGAACTTGCTAGGGGTAGGAAATCAACCTGCATCATGTGGAGTGTGGGTTATTGGGTATATCCAGATGTCCAAAGTAATCAAGTCACACACTGAAGACCTGTGCATTTCACTATATAAAAATTATGTATCAACTGAAAAAACAAAACCAAATTTGTGTACAAATAGGTATCTATAGTTATATAGGAATACAGATATAGGCAAGATATATATTATTTGTAGTGTCAACCTGATAAACCAACTCTTTGGAATCCCAATGTCAACTAAAATCAATTATTTAGTATCTTTCAGAAGTGAACTTTAGCTCCAAACTCCCCAAATATTAATAATAAGGGCCAGGCATGGTGGCTCATGCCTGTAATCCTAGTACTCTGGGAGGCCAAGGGGGGTAGGCTGCCTGAGTTCACAGGTTCGAGACAAGCCTGAGCCAGAGCGAGACCCCCATCTCTGAAAATAGTAGGGTGTTGTGGCGGGCATCTGTAGTCCTAGCTAGTTGGGAGGCTAAAACAAGAGAACTGCTTAAGCCCAAGAGTTTGAGGCTGCTGTGTGCTGTGATACTACAGCACTCTACTGAGGCAACAAAGTGAGACTCTGTCTCAAAAAACAAAAACAAAAACAAATAATAATAAAGTAGGGAGCCATCTTAAAGCATCTTTCAGTCAATTCTTCCTGTGTTCAGGTAGCCATTAGCCATTCCGCAAATAAGATGTAAGAACACGTAATGATTAATTATGTTTTGATTATTCCTTTTTTTTTTTTCTTTTCTTGCAGTTTTTGGCTGGGGCTGGGTTTGAACCTGCCATCTCTGACATATGGGGCCAGTGCCCTACCCCTTTGAGCCACAGGCGCCGCCCTTATTCCTTTTTTATTTTTTGAGACAGAGTCTCACTTTGTCACCCTGGGTAGAGTGTCCAGCATCATAGCCCACAGCAACTTCAACTCTTGGGCTTAAGCGATTCTCTTGTCTCAGCCTCCCAAGTAGCCAGGACTACAGGCAGCCACTACAATGCCCCCCTATTGTTAGAGAAGGGAGTATCACTCTTGCCCAGGCTAGTCTCAAACTCCTGAGCTCAGACAACTGGCCTGCCTCGGCCTCCCAGAGTACTAGGATTATAGGTGTGAGCCACCAGGCTCAGACTTGATTATTCTTAAAAGAATTCCAAATTAAAAATGACCTTTCCAAAAATAAATAAATAAATAAGACCGTTCAAGGAATGTTGCTTAAAGGATAAAGACAGATCTGATCTAAAAGCTCAAGGTCCCAAATGAAGGTCCCTTTCCACACTGCAACTTGTTTTCCAACACCTAAGTGAGCTGTGTGTCTAATCAATAAACACCGTGCCTATTAAGATGTCTGCACTATTAACTACCCTTTCAATTGTTAGAAGGGCACACCATGTTTAATAGCAAAAGAGCTGGTAAGAAGTAAAAATCAAAAAGCAGACTTGCAGTTATTTATTCATCCAGTCACAAATTTGCTATCAATCTAAAGCTTTTTTCTTTTTCTTTTTTTTTAAGATGGTCTCACCTAGGCTTCAGTACAGTGGCATCAGCCTAGCTCACAGCAACCTCAAACTCCTGAGTTGACAAGAGATCCCCCTGCCTCAGTCCCCCAAGTAGCTAGGACTACAGGTGCCCACAACCATTCTCAGCTAAATTTTTCTATTTTTAGTAGAGACAGGGTCTCACTCTTGCTCAGGCTGGTCCTGAACTCCTAAACTCAAGGGATCCTCCTGCCTTGGCCTCCCAGAGTGCTAGGATTACAGGCGTGAGCTATCACACCTGGCCCAAAAAGCAGTTATTTTTTTAAAAATGGTCAAACAAAACTATTTCAATAGTTTCTCCAAATATCAAATATCTAAGCTTACCTTTCTTAAATATTAGTACTCTATGTAAGTTGGAAGGCAGGTGCTGTGGTAAGAAGGAATTTAAGTCAGTGTTGTCTGTCAGATATGAGAACTATAATTTCTACGCTGGTGAGAAGTGGGCAATACTACTTCACTCAACAAGGATGGAAAAAATATAACCTCTTTCTTCCTCCTCAATGGGCACCCACTGGCCCAGAACACACACCTTTAGCTCACCTAAAAGCTTGATGTCCTTGAGAAGATTTACTTTTGCCAGGTTTACTAAAGAGAAATATCTTTAGCCCTGTCAAGGAAGCAAGGAAGCTCCTAGATTGTACCTTAAAGGGAATAAGAATGTTTCGGCTCATTTGCATTTTAAAGGGTACTCTTTGATGATCTTTCACACTTGTAATAGATGTCTAAACCATTAAATTACTATTTCTTTTCTTAGCCTGAAAGTCGATGCAGACTAAGAGCGTGGCCTCTCCCATTGTTCTCTACCCTAAGTCGGTCCCTGAACAATACTGACAGCTGCTATCAAACCAGGCTGCATTTACTCTGCGAGCAGCTGCTGCTTGTAGGAACAGACAGTCTCCCGGTCCCTCCTCCTCTCTGGGGAGACAGGTTGACACACTGCATGTTCAATGAAGGGGTGCAAAGGTCCACTGAATTGTCAACCCAATTTTATGCTACTTCGATTTTCCAGGACGCACACAATCCCTTTCAAGCAAAAATCAAGCATATGCCAGAGCATGAAACTTATGATGCGGGATAATTATTGATCACTACAAACTTGAAAGGAACCTTCTGACATAAATTAATATACTGATCCAAAAATTACAGTGATAAAAACCACACATGCCGGTGTGCTGAAGACGTGCAACGGGCGTGAGTCTCTCATCGGGCCCAGTTCACCAATTTGGGTGACTGTGGCCAGAACTAATCTGCCTTTGTAATCTCAACAACATTTTTCCTGGACTAAAGCCATTCATAAAATTAGAAGAGATTCATCTGCCTTTCTAAAACAGCCACTATTTTTATTTTCTGATTTAGCTCAAAACAGGTTTTACCTATAAACATCTGGTTAATGCAATTTCCTCCTTTCCAAAGTGTGGGCCCAAAGGAGGAGATTCACAAGGCTGGGCAGTACCTTAGAGAATTTAAACGTGAAGAGTTTTACCATCAAGAAATTATATGTAAAAATTTACAGCCTATCAGAAAACAAACATGTTCGCTAAGTCTAACTGGGTACTTGAGAACTGCTTTGCATATGTTTTCCTTTAATCAAAACAGGCTTTTCCATCCTCATTCATTTGGGTGAAAAAATTCTGTGCTGGAGCTACAAGTACAATTCACTATTAGTCTTTGCTAATCAAACACGGTACATGTGAAAGTACCAGTGAATATTTGATTTGATCTCTGAAATAAAGCAATTCATTACATAAGAAAAAGGTACAGAAGGCAGCAGACAAATGCAGATGTAATTGTGTTTTTTGTTGAATGTGATTAGAGAGCTCACTAAGTAACAGTCAAAAATGTGATACTGAAGGGGGAGAAAGGCAATGCCTGGATGGGGGGGAGGAGGAGGGAGAATTGTTTATGCAGAGCTAAGCTGTCAAGTGTAATAAAGCAGCTTGAATAAAATTTAAGCTGAAAATCCACTGAAGCTCCCCATTTCAGGGAGGAAAAAGCTATTAAAAGGAAATGAAGGTCACCCTCCCAGTTTATTTCACCTAATTGACTGCCAATAGCTTACCACAGACAACCCAACTGCAGATCTGCAATTGAGAAACTGATGAAAGGAGAGTTTTCAAGCTGAGGCTCATTCTTTAATCCTCCTTGGCTCTTATGTTTTTTCTGCATCTCCAGTTGGGATGTAATTTTAAGCCCTGATGGATTAACTGGTTCCATTGTCTGTGGCCGTCATTGGACTATGGCACTCTTAATCCATACAGCAGCATGTCTAATTATCATTACAAAGTGTCTGAGGGAACTATAAAGACCAGCAGGGCATCTTCTCACAAGCAATTAACATAAATTGATAAATGAGTGATTTGAATCCGCTCAAGGCACTCACATATGAATAAAATCAGAAAGGATGGTCCCTTGTTTCAGCTACTTTTTTCACTTGGTCTGGAAGGGGCGGAACACGTGAGAACCATCCTGGTCGGCCGTGGTGGGGGTGGGGGACGAACTCAGGGGGGTGGAAGGCACGGTTCACCGGGCCCCTTAATGCAGAGCAAATGACTTGTGATTGACAACCAGTTGCCAGCACGGAGCACTAACTGAACTCGACAGAGGAGAGCCAGAGGAGAGCGCAGCCCCGGTGAAAGGCTAGAGAGCACCAGGGCAGACCATTAACACTCCTTCCTCAGCAAGAGAGCGCTCTTTTCATCGGTGTGCCACTTAAAAATTCATGAAAGAGGAGCAAGAAAGAAGAAGAGCAAACAGTTACACAGGTTCGAATACCCTGGAAAGCAAAAGGCAAAAGCAAAGGTAACTAAATGAAATGATAATTCAGAGACCTGTCTTAATCTTACCGTGATCTAGCGTTGTTTTAAGACAGAGGTAAGGAAAAGTATTTAAAACTCTAAACTAAAGCTTTTACCCGACTAATGGAGCAAGGGTGGTTTTAGGTGTCACAGGACAAACTACATTTACTCTCCTATTTACAAGCACACTTAGGACAAGGCATGATAGTGTGTACCTAGAGCCCAGCTACTCGGGAGGGCAGAGAATCACTTGAGCCCAGGAGTTCAAGGCCAGCCTGGGTAAGATGGTGAGATCGCATCTCTTTAAAAAAAATTTAATTCACTAATTAAAAGATCTATTTTTCTTCCCCTCCTAAAATGTTTCTTCTGTCAACTTTCTTACGCTAATCTCTCTTCCCCTCCGCACGTCAGCATGTCCCAAACCCTCCACCCTTATCAAATAGGTCAACGTTAAGCTACACAAAATTATATATGTACATATACATATGCTAAGCCATCAAATTAGTAAGAAATGAAAGCTGGTTATACACACTGTAGGAGGTAGACCTGGTAGGCCACGTACCCCGATGATGGCATTCAGCTCTGCCATGGTCACCTGTTTGGCACGTTCGACAGCCTGGGCCACCTGTTGTTGATGCTTTGAAAATAAAGAGAAAAATAGGTGTTAGCAGCAGCTGAGAACTTCATCCTTCCTTGTAACAACATCAATAAAACAAATGCAAAGCAGGTTGAAGTCCAAGAATGTGAATGTGTAGTTTCAACACAGGAGAAGAGTGGAGCTTCCTAAACACCAGTAGTCCCTACTTGCGGCTGTAATGGCTCAGAAGAGCAGAAAGCCAACAGGGACATCAAAAATAACAACTTGGGGCATTAGGAGAAAAATAGGACAAGACTTGGAAGATCACTCTGCTTCATAGAAACCGTTTGCAATGGGAAGTTTGGGCAGAAGCAATTTACGGCAATTTTAAAGCACCCATTCAATACAATTTAGACAGTAAACCTGTAATCACTTCTCTGATCAACGAATTTTGACCCACAACTTCCTAAAACTGAGAATTTCTCTGGTTCTTTTACGCTTTTGATATTTCACCCTCCACAGGGAAAAGGAAGAGCCCCACCCTCAGTTCAAAACGTGGAAACTCACCCTGTACTCCTCCCAACTCCACCCACAAATAAAAACAAAGCCACAAATTTACTTCAGGAGCATAAGAACGGAGCAAAGACCTGGATCACTGAAGTTTAACAAACAACTAGATTCAAAAGGCCAACAAATCTATATTGTTAACACCAGACAACTGTCATGCTGGAAGAGGCTGTTCCAGCAATAGCAGAAACGGCGACTAACCAGCATGGACCAACAGACGCCAACTCGTGCAGACACCCAGCATTCTCAGTCCTTGTTCAACAAGCTTTCTGCTCCGCCTCGAGACACATCATAGCACTTACTAGCTTGCATCCAAAAGGAATGTAAACCTTTCCAGGCAAAACCAAAATGTAATAGTCTTGAGTCAGTTTCATACACTACTCATATAGAGAGCTTTTTCTCACAAATATTAAGGTTAAACCTCTATGACTTTGTAACTAAATAAAACGGAATATATACACATACACACGGGGCCGGACAGAAAGTTTGTGTGCAGTTTAAATAGTTATACACGAACTTTATGGGCTGTGTGTATGCACATGATTCAGTTAACATAACACGAAGACTTATTTTGGACTATTATCATCTACCCCCCTCCATGGATTAAGTCTAACATACTGAGGACAAGAGAAATACCTGCTTCCATGGTAAAGTCAACGCTGACAGAGTCAGTTTTAGAAGTCAGAACAAGAATAGTTCTCTACTTAGAGGACGTAAAGGATATCTAATCATCAGTAGCTATCAACCTTATACTACTTGAAGAAAGCAAAACCTTATGTTTGATAGTCGTTTTGCTGTTTTCCACCGAAAAAAAATTCATTTGGGAGTTGAGCTACTGTCGCCACTTCTACAGTGTGCCCTCAGATGCATTAGAGCAGTGGTTCTCAACCTTCCTAAGGCCAGGGCCCTTTCATAAGTTCCTGTGGGTCGCAACCCACAGGTTGAGAAGCGCTGTGTTAGAGAGACTAGCAGGGGGTGTACACACTTCAGCTGCAACAGATGTTCTTCACACTTGTTCCTTGTGATAAAATTAACATCTTAAAACTAGCTAATTTGCAAACAGAGAAGCAACATAATTGCACTTTAACAGCTGAACAGTTTTACTTACTTCCTGAGACAGAAATGGGATGACTTGTGCACAAATCGTATTCAATCTCTTGGCGATTTCGGTCTATAAAGACAAAGCCATACATATATTAGAATACTTCACAATCAGTTCACAAAGGTAAAAACTTCATGCCTCCAACACTAGTTCTCTACTCACTCTGGAAGGCATACGATTATTTTCCCAGGTTATGTTACCAGTATTTATCTTTTTTTTTTTTTTTTTTTGAGACAGAGCCTCAAGCTGTCCCCCTGGGTAGAGTGCCGTGGCATTACAGCTCACAGCAACCTCCAACTCCTGGGCTCAAGTGAGTCTCCTGCCTCCGCCTCCCAAGTAGCTGGGACCACAGGCGCCCGCCACAACGCCCGGCTATTTTTTTTTTGGTTGCAGCCGTCATTGTTGTTTTTTGGCGGGTCCAGGCTGGGGGTTCGAACCCACCACCTTAGGTGTACGTGGCTGGCGCCTTAGCCGGGTGAGCTATAGGCGCCGAGCCACCAGTATTTATCTTAAGAGAAACAGTAGATATCAATCCCACTTGCAAAGTAAGGCACAATTGCACACTGTTATTGCTCACTTCAGAGGAAACAATGAGTAGTTTAACAGAGTTGGAAAATCTGCATGATATAAGGCTATATGATGATTCAATCTGGTGATTGTTAAGCCCCTTAATAGACTTTCAGTGATGGTACACCATGGCACATCTATGTAGTTTTTAAAGCAAGTTCACTCAAACTGGTGTCAAAAGCCATTGGGGACAACAGAGCAGTGTCAAAGCAGTCCAGCTGGCTGGGCGTGGTGGTTCTTGCCTATAATCCTAGCACTCTAGGAGGCCAAAGCAGATGAACTGCCTGAGCTCACAGGTTCAAGACCAGCCTGAGCCAGAGCAAGACCTCCTCTCTAAAATATAGATGGGTATAGTAGCGGGAGCCTGTAGTTCCAGCTCCTCGGGAGGCTGAGTAAAGAGAATCACTTGAGCCCAAGAGTTGGAGGTTGCTCTGAGTTATGATGACATGGCAGTTTACTGAGGGTGCAAAGTGAGAGTCTGTCTCCAAAACACAAAACAAAAAGAAAGCAGTCCAGCTTCCAAAGAAGGCCTATGGTGACAAAGAAAGGGACCTGACCTCCTTCCCACTCTTATACCACTAAAACAGGATTTTAATGTTAGTAGCTTCATTAAGTCTCAAGATTTCAAATTAAACCAAGAAAACAATACTAAAAATACTAGAGCAGTGGTTCTCAACCTTCCTAATGCGGCAACCCTTTAATACAGTTCCTCATGTTGTGGTGACCCCCAACCATAAAATTATTTGTTGCTACTTCATATAGCAACTGATATACAAGGATAAAAGAAACACCTGCTTCTTTTGCTACTTCATATTAGCAATGAAAACAATTTTATAGTTGGGGGTCACCACAACATGAGGAACTGTATTAAAGGGTCACGGTATTAGGAAGGTTGAGAACCACCGTACTAGAGTCTAGAATGATCATCAAATCCCAGAGTCCTCAGGATCTGGAAAGTCTCATCAAAATTCAGTATCAAATGCAAAGACCTCACTGACAGGGCCCATGGGTCATCTGAACACAACAAAAGGTATCTTCAATGTCATAAGCTGTTTTAAAGAAAGCAGGAAAAATTCTTGCTGGGCTGCACATGCACAGCAACTCCTCTGCTACAAGGGACAAACTAGCAAGAGGGTCTACTTCTCGCTTAGAGGAGGATCCACCTGGCCGCCTCCAACATCCGGCAGCAGTGCAAAGCAGCTCTCCTTTCCTTTAGCTCTCGACAACCAGTTCTGCTTTTTGTAAAAGAAAAAAAAAGTCATCTGTAAAGAGGCCTAGCGCTGACCTTATTTCATCATGTCCTCTCAATGCTTACCAAAAGCCACCTCTATTACTGAATTAGGCAATGAAAAGGATCACAAGGAGAAGAAAATTAAAAAGCACTGCAGTCCATGCCCTTGAGAAACAGAGAATGGAATAATCATGATAAAGTACAAACCCCGGGAACTTTACAATCAAGTACATAAAAAAGAGCCTCCCTTTTGTCCTCTAAGATGACTCCAGTTAACAAAGCAGGAAGTCTGGATTTTATGGACTGGACGTAGGCCAATCTAACCCAATTCTCCCCTGACCACCAATGAGACAGTTACAGACCGCAGCATGAAAAACATGTCCTAGAAGGGAAGATGACTGACAGAGCAAACCCATGCATGACCCTGCTTTAGCCAATGAGGCAAACAGACACACACAAAACAGGTGCAGCGGAAGCAGGTACAAAAACAGAACTGGGTCAGGCCTACCCAGTTCATTTGTTCACAGCCCCACTCAAGCTACCTCAAGGTCATGCTTCTCCTAGAAAGCACAAGCATCTCCCCTTTGCTTTGCAACAGGCTTCTGCACTCTACCAGGGTGCATATAAAGTAGGGATTCCTTTCGGGGGCTCCACATGGGTCCTTGCTCCCAGCCCCCTACCTACCATACATTCCAATAGCATTCTACACTCTCCTTTTCTCCAAAATTCACACTTAAGATTTTCCAATTTTAAAACCAATATATGCTCACATTGAGCACATACACATACACAGATGTATTTAGACAGAAAAATATAAAAGACCGTTGACCCCAAGTCTATCACCCAAGAATAACCCTGGGTAATACACTGGTAATTCTGGGATACCATCATTCCAGGCTCTCACTAGATCCCAGTACTAATAGAGGGACATGCTTTAATACCAAAGGATCCCATTATCTACACTGCATTTCTGTAATTTGTTTTCCATTCAAAAATGTGTCATGGACACTCTCTCAGTCAATAAACAAGTGTATCGACATATTACGCCATAGATGTTTAAGCACTCCTGCTATCAGCAGATATTTATGTTTCATCTAATTTTCCTCAATTACAAACCCTCCACATACATCTCTAAAATAAATCCCTAGAATTCCAACTACTGGGTCAAAGTATACATATGCATATTTTAAAATTGTAATGTAGCCTGCCAAGTGCCCAGCAGGAAAACTACACCAATTTACATGGCTGCCAGTGTAGGAGGGTGCTTGCTCTCCCACCCAGTGTCAATACTGGTTTGTTTTTTTTTAATCTTCATCTATCTAATAGATTTTTTTTAAATCTCATTTTAATTTGCATTACTTGAATTCTTCCTGAAGATATTTATTGGTCCACTACATCCTTCCTTTCTCTACTCTTTTGCTGATGTTTAAACATTCTTACCTTTTGGCAGTAATTCTTTTTTTTTTGAGACAGAGCCTCAAGCTGTCACCCAGGGTAAAGTGCCATGACATCACAGCTCACAGCAACCTTCAACTCCTAGGCTCAACCGAGTCTCCTGCCTGAGCCTCCCAAGTAGCTGGGACCACAGGTGCCCACCACAACGGTGGTGCAGCCATCATTGTTGTTTTGGCGGGCCCGGGCTAGATTCGAACCTGCCACCTTAGGTGTATGTGGCTGGCGCCTTAGCCACTTGAGCCACAGGCGCTGAGCTGGCAGTAATTCTTTACATAAGACAACTATTAACACTTTATCTATCACCATTTGCCCAGTTTGTTACCTGTCTTTCAACTTGCTTGACATGGATTTGTTTTGGTTTTCTTTTGAAACAGAGTCTGACTATGTCCCCCTCAATAGAGTGCCATGACGTCACAGCTCACAGCAACCTCAAACCTCTTGGGCTTAAGCAATTCTCTTGCTTCATCCTTCCAAGTAGCTGGGACTACAGGCACCTGCAACAACACTCAGCTATTTTTGTTGTTGTTGTTGTTATTGTCATTGTTGTTTAGCAGGCCCTGGCTGGGTTCGAATCCACAGCCCGATGCATGTAGCCAGCGCCCTAACCACTGAGCAACAGGCGCCAAGCCTAATATGGATTTCTTGGTGTATAAAACTTTTCAGTTTTTATTTGGTCAAGCAAAAAAGGCTTTTTCTTCCTATGCTCCTGGACTTTAGGTAAAAATTCAAATACATCAAGATTATAAAAGCCATTCTTAATTTTCTGCTAGTGGTGCTAGGGCTATACATTTTATACTTAATTACTTGATCTTGCTGGAATTTATTTTGCTTTAAGAAGAAAAGATGTCCTTGTCTTTAATTAATAACAACTCTGTGTTATTGCACAGAATGACATCAAGGTAAAACTGAACACTGTTACAGAACAATTAAGACCAGTCTGAACAGAAGGAACTTGTAAACCTGTAATAACATTAAAGTTATCAAAAGAAAAAATAAATACAGATTAAAGCAAAGACAATATAGTCATCCCTTGGAATCTGTAAGGTACTGTTTCCAGAAACCCCTGAGGATATCAAAATCCACAGATGCTCAAGTTCCTTATATAAAATGGCACAGTATTTGCATGTAATAACATATATCGTCTCATCTACTTTAAGTTTTCTTTAGATTACTTACAATACAACGTAAATGTTACTAAACAGTTGTTATGTTGGTATTGTTTAGGGAATGATGACAAGGAAAAAGTCTGTTTATGTTCAAAACAGACTCAATCTTTTTTTTTTTTCAAGTATTTTTGATCCACAGTTGGTTGACTCCATAGCTCCAGAACCCATAGATACATGGGGACAACTGAACTGTATAAGCTGAGTTAGACCAAGGAGGGCTAAAATGAGAGGAAGAAAAGTTACAGCTCAGAGCTCAATGGTAAAGAAGCATCAGAAGCTATACCCCGTATGTTCTAGAAATTCTAAATAAATGTTGTAGAAGAAACAGACTAGAAGCAATCCTCCCTCTCCCAGGTCTCTAAACCCTCATCTTGAACTATCCTGACAAGTGAGCTGCATTTCTGAACCAGAAAACCTCAATTCAAGTCTCACCTTTTCTACTTATAAACTGGTTTAACCTGGACAAGACAATGAAATTCTCTGAGCTGTACAACATAAACAAGAACCACCCACCACCTGGCAGTGTGAGGATGCAGAACTCAGCTGGCAGTGAGGGCTTTGTGGATTCTAAGGCATCACAACTACCTCCCCAGGACGGCTTCATGACCATTGTCCCATCCCCTAAAATAGTCTACATGGCAGCAGCACAA